GATGTTGAGCATTTCAACTGCTTCTGGTTCCACCACTAGCCTGAGACTGCCAACTGTGGACATATTTATTGTGCCAGGTGATTGAATTAACATTTTGGAGATTACCTTGATGGTAAGTTAAAAATATAAACATGCTGCCAGTAGTTGTTAGGTACACAAATGCTTTTACAAAGGTGGCTTATTTCTTGAGCGTTAATAGCCCATATATCACCAGAAAAATGGGCTGGGCATTAAGCAATCTAATTTCCCACCCTAATTTCTTTTATTTACACAAGTAATCAACGATAACATATTGGGAGTAGGTTTTAATTTCAGATCCTGTCACTTCGGCTTTACTAGCGGTGAACATTTGACGTTTGATATGCACAACTAAATTACCTGTGTGTGCACATTGGGCTTCCAGCACTCATTGAGCAAACCATGAAAGGTCACTCAAAAGGTCCATGTCCCGTTGTTGCTTATAGTCTGCAGGTGATTTCACTTGCCATTTTATTTCAATTCAGGAGGAACTTCCTTGCTGAAAGAGTGTGAGGAATGTGAACGTACTATCACAAGGAGCATTGAGACAAATAAATTTAAACTGAGAATAGAAAAATACATGAGGGAAAAAATAAAATGATATGAGAAGAGCCTCATGTGCCACATACCATTTGGATTAATTGATCAGTTTTTTGCACTCTGCCCTTGATATAACTTGATGTCACAGAGGTACAGCTTATGTTGCTATCAAGAAACCTTCTTTCTTGCGTTTCTAATTTGTATAAAGAATTACTATTTGGGACTTTGCATTGTCAATAAAAGTAAAACAAAATAAGAGTTTCATATCCAATAAAGTATTTTTGAAACAACAAGGTGCAGGGCTGGATGAACACAGCAGGCCAAGCAGCATCAAAGGAGCAGAGAGGCTGACGTTTCGGGCCTAGACCCTTCATCAGAAAAGGGGGAGGGGAAGGGGGTTTTGAAATAAATAGGGAGAGAGTGGGAGGCGGATAGAGGAGAGGATAGGTGGAGAGGAAACAAACAGGTCGACGAGGCGGGGATGGAGCCAGTAAAGGTGAGTGTAGGTAGGGAGTTAGGAAGGGGATAGGTCAGTCCAGGGAGGACGGACAGGTCAAGGGGGCAGGATGAGGTTGGTCGGTAGGAGATGGAGGTGCGGCTTGAGGTGGGAGGAGGGGATAGGTGGGAGGAAGAACAGGTTAGGGAGGCAGGGACGAGCTGGACTGGTTTTGGGATGCGGTAGGGGGAGGGGAGATTTTGAAACTTGTGAAATGCACATTGATACCATTGGGCTGCAGGGTTCCCAAGCGGAATATGAGTTGCTGTTCCTGCAACCTTCGGGTGGCATCGTTGTGGCACTGCAGGAGGCCCAGGATGGACATGTCGTCTGAGGAATGGGAGGGGGAGTTGAAATGGTTCGCGACTGGGAGGTGCAGTTGTTTATTGCGAACCGAGCGTAGGTGTTCTGCAAAGCGGTCCCCGAGCCTCCGCTTGGTTTCCCCGATGTAGAGGAAGCCACACCGGGTACAGCGGATGCAGTATACCACATTGGCAGATGTGCAGGTGAACATCTGCTTGATGTGGAAAGTCTTCTTGGGGCCTGGGATGGGGGTGAGGGAGGAGGTATGGGGGCAGGTGTAGCACTTCCTGCGGTTGCAGGGAAAAGTGCCGGGTGTGGTGGAGCTGGAGGGGAGTGTGGAGCGGAC